TTTTTTTTTAATTTTTGTGTTTTGGGTTATTGGAAGTTGATTCTTTTGCTGGTTCTGGGGTATGGAGCAATTTAGTTTGACTGTTGAGCTTCAACATCATACTGGCTGATTGTTTTTGGTTTTTTTTTTTTTTTGTGATTTGGGTTTGGAGCTCTTCTTTTTTGTTTGTCCAAGAAAGTTGGAATTTTCTCTGATTTCAGTTCAGTCTTTGGAGTGGTTTTATTTGGAGGGTTTGATTGGATTTCCAAGATCATATAAGTTAGTGGAGGATTTTTCAATTAGTTGTTGGTTTGGATCACCTTACTTCGGAGGATAACATTTGACTTGAATATTTTGTGAAGTTTATGGAGTTAAACATGGCTAAATTTTGCATTGCTTATTAGCATCAGAGCATATTCTTACTAATTTTGGTGTATCTTGACAAAGAGAGTACAGTTAATTTCTGGGGTCTCTAGGGTTTTCTGTTCATTTATTTAGTGACTTTAGACTGGTAATAAAAATTGGTAGTGTAAAATCTTCTTTGTTTTAGATATGATTTCATGAGGACTTCGTCGCTGTATGTATATCTACTGCACTTTGTTTCTTGGCAAGATGAAGCTCTTTTTTGATTTTTTTTTTCTCTTTACCTTTGTCTCTGTTAGATGGTGGTTCCCCTAAATACATGGGTCCTCATCTCCACTTATAAGTTGGCTTACAATCTTCTTCGTCGACCTGATGGCACTTTCAAACGTCACTTGGCAGAATTTCTTGATCGGAAAGTCCCTGCTAATGCGAACCCAGTTGATGGGGTTTTCTCATTTGATGTCATCATTGATCGTAGCACGAGCCTTTTTAGTCGGATTTATAGACCAGCGACTGCTGAAGAGCCTCAGCCAAACATTGTTGAGCTTGAGAAGCCTGTTACGGCTGAGGTTGTCCCTGTTATAATTTTCTTTCATGGTGGAAGTTTTGCACATTCCTCGGCAAATAGTGCAATATATGACACTCTATGTCGCCGATTGGTAGGTGTTTGTAAGGCTGTTGTGGTCTCTGTGAATTATCGGCGTGCACCTGAAAATAGATATCCATGTGCTTATGATGATGGGTGGACTGCTCTTAAGTGGGTTAACTCTAGATCATGGCTTCAAAGTCAGAAAGATTCAAAGGTTCATATATACTTGGCTGGGGATAGCTCTGGTGGTAACATTGTACACCATGTCGCAGATCGAGCTGTAGAATCAGGAATTGATGTATTGGGAAATATATTGCTCAATCCAATGTTTGGTGGACAAGAAAGAACTGAATCTGAAAAGCGTTTAGATGGGAAATATTTTGTTACTCTACAAGACCGGGACTGGTACTGGAGAGCTTTTCTCCCCGAGGGAGAAGACAGGGATCATCCTGCATGTAATCCATTTGGTCCTAATGGTAAAAGTCTTGAAGGAATCAAATTTCCAAAGAGTCTAGTAGTGGTTGCTGGCTTGGACCTTGTTCAGGATTGGCAATTGGCTTATGTTGAAGGGCTCAAAAAGGCTGGCCAAGAGGTTAAACTTTTATATTTGGACCAGGCAACAATTGGTTTCTACTTGTTACCGAACAACAATCACTTCCATACTGTTATGGGTGAGATAAGTAAATTTGTGAGTTCTAACTGTTAATAGGATTAACTTTACCTACAGGCAGCCATAAATGACAGGAGCTTGACATTCCACTTGTGGTAATTAAGAAGTTTGCAGTGTATGATTGTGTAGTATTACTACTTACTGTCGCATTAATCATGGCATTATTGCTAGCTGGCTTTCTTGGGCTCTGCTTTTTCCCTGATTTATAGAGTACCGGCCTTGGTTTATCTGGTGAAGAAGAGGTATTTCAGCACGTAGCTGGATCAGGATGTGTTCTGGTCTGCATTCAATCACCTGGACTTGGGGTGTTATAGTTTGATGAAGCTCCTGTGGTGGTCATGTTTAGCAGACCACTAAATTTTAAGAATTACAAATTCTGGCTTCTTACCACAAAGGTGAAGAAGACAGGAAATATATCGATAACATTTGGTACCCAATCAAGGGATTGGTGCCTGGCTAATGTTATATAAGCTAATTTTAGAACATGGATTAGAAAGGTTCCATGGTGTTGTAACCCTGTATGTTTATACATATGTGTTAGTATATATAAAGATGTTTGCTTATTGCGGTTTTTAGTTTTTCTTTTTCTCCATTTTAAATTTTGGTATTCGGTTTGCTCTATTGTTTGACACTTCTGGACAAGTGTAAATACAACTATGTTATATAAGATTTGAGAAATTTTGAATTAGAGATTTCTGGCTTATGAAATGCCTGTTGTTTATATTTTATCACAGACAAATCAAACTCAAGCAGGTAGATCCTTGATCACTCATATTGCTTCGAAGTTACTGGTTTCCTGGAACCTTCTGGTGGCAGGGGGCATTGCAGATTCCATGACACTGAATTTATGTTTTCTTGTGGGGTGAAGGATCAGGTTGTGTTGAGCTGCAAGCTTCTTATTCATGGGTTGTGTATGGTCTATCCAGGGTTTGCGTAAACAATGACTCCACAGCTTTTTGGCTTATCTATATGTTTAATCCTAAAAAAGCTGGATTAACCTTTGTTTGAATGATTGATGATTGATTAGCATGGACACCTAAAAAAAACAATATCTGCCAAAATTTTCTCCCCAGAAGATAATTTTGGGAGACAACTGAATGAGGAATCAAAACGTGCGGCCATGTCATCCATTAAATCCAGCCAGGACAAAAGGGCACTCTTAACACTTTGATAAATGATTGGAACCAAATTCTAGCAGTCCATTTTTTGGCCATGGATTGAGATTGATTTGATGCATTCTTGTCATTTCTTGAATAGATGAAATGGAAGAGTAATTTTGGAGCATAAGACTGGATAAAATACAGAAATTGGCTTGTTTGGAAAGGGAGAAAACTATAGAATGGTGGTTGCATTTTAAATGCATTCAAGGGGACCACTTGAGAGGCACACACCATCCTTTTGTAAGCTGTTAGGATTTGCTTTCATGGTGCTAAAAGAATATTAGCATAATGTTAAAGAACAGCTAAGCCCTTGATGAAGACATCAAGCCTTGTCTAATTGACTTGTGTGGACCAACTAAAAGACAATGAGACTAGCATGCATAAATTACTCAGCTGGAAGAAACATTATATCTGGTCTACTCTGCATTCCTGCTTAATCTATTCTATATATTTTTCATGATTTCAAACAACATATGGGATTGTTTTGTTTCTAATCATGTGCTCTCTGACTAGGATTGCGTCTGCCGCATGTGAATTCAAGCTGATTAAGATGGTGTAACTGTTAAGGCTCTGGAAGACACTATAACTCGAAAACATTTTAAAGCTTCCCCAACATTCAAAAGCCTTTTTCACCTCTTTCCCCTTTCTAAAGTCAAACCCTTTTTCCAACCTGGACGATACCATGTATCAGAATATAAAAATGTCAAATCTTAGGATCATGGTCTCCCATCCCATTCCCAAATTCCTTGCATTTTCACTATTTACATTGAGAGATTTACGGAAATGTTGGTTTGAATAATCCGAAAACGAAAGGAGGGACTACCGGATGTCCAGTCAAATTATTACAGAATCATGCCTTTATGATGGCCATAGAAGAAAGTTGATGGACTCTTAACACACTCGCCAGTGCCACAAACAAGAGTCAGATGACATTGTGGCAGTGGTTTTGGCAGGGTTAACTGCATTATCCTTCTCAAGATATAGGTGGGCATAATTTGAGATTGCTGCAAAAAGGGTGTTGGGTAAAATCAGATTTCTAATACCAAGTTTCTGCATGATGTCAATGTCACCTCCAAAACTTACCTACTAATTGGTGCCAATAGCCAGCTCATACTCAAGTTTTGTCATTGCATACCTTCTCAAGCTCTGAATGTTGAGACTTTGTGGTCTATATGACTTGTTTTTGAATAGCTACACACAACCCTGCATGTCTGCATCATTTTGTTACAGCCAAAAAGGAAATAACAGCTACTATCTGCTCTGTAATTCTTAAGTTTGCAATTTTTTTCCTTTTTTAGAACCTAATGGAGCCTTTCCTTTTGCTTCAATCTTTGTTTTGCATGTTGCCTTTCCCTAATATATCAGTTGAATATGTGAAGCAAATATACAGATGCAAGTGCAACTTGAAAGATTAAAATGAGCAGATGAAGCGAAAGTTTATTATCTTTTATCTAAAATCAAATAGTGGAAACATCATGCTTAATCTTTGAGCACAATTAAGAGTAAGTGATCTTCTCATATGACCATAAAATCTTAAGTAAAGATCCAGTATCAATTCCATAGAAAAACTACTTAGATGACCTATTAAGTAACAAGGTTGTAGATGCTGCAGCTTAAATTGTTCTTCCAGAGGGCATAAAACCTGCTGCAACAGATTAACTGGACCTTGGTGTAATGGCACAAAAGAACAAACATAATCATGAACCATATTATGGGAACTCATTAAAATTGATGCTTAATTTAATTTTCCTGAGATGCTGACAAATTTATTTGGGCGATGTAATTCATCTGTCTTACCATATGATTGTCCCAAACAATAATTGCCTATGCACCTAATTGATTGGATGTGTAGAACCAGGTACAATGAATTCAAAAAGGGTTCAACTCCTAAAATCTAAAAGTCTAACTACCTTAATCAAAACAAGCAGGAACAAGTCTCCTAGGAAAGCAATACTTCATGAAGATGAAAACCTTTTGCTTCATATTAACTAATTTGATATCATCAACCATCAATTTGGCTCACTTGATTTAGCATGCATTTTTGGTTTTTTAACTTTCCACAAACAAAGATTAAGAGAAACAGAGTAACAAATATGCAGACAGCAGACCAATATCACCTCTAAAGTATGAAGCATAACAGATAGGAATCATGCTCATAAAGCAGTTAAAAGGCATCCTCTGAGTCTGAGGTTATGAGTCTTGCCTTATCCAAAAAGCATTATTTATCTCTTAGTTGCAGTTCAAAAGTAGCAACATAGCATGTTGTCACATTGAGTTTTCTCAGTTAATCCTAGAAGCAAAAACAACTTGTGCTAAAACAAAATTAACCAATAAACCAAAGGACTCAACGTCCTCTTGCAGCATATGCGACAGATATTGCTGCCAAAAGGGTTGTTGCTGAGGATACCAAAGTCCAGAAACTCTCTTTCTTTCGTGCTTCCACCATACCTATCTCCATGAACTCAACTTTCTGCTTCAAGTCTTGAGCTGTTGTCTCTTTATTCTTAAATGCTTGTTTGATTGCCTCCAATTCTGCTGCATATGGCTGAATTTCATCTTCAAGCTTCTTTTCAGTAATAGCAGCTTCTTCCTTCACCTTTTGATCATTTTCATTTTTAGATTGACATAACAGTGTAGCAGTGTTCTTCAACAGAGTCAATGCTCGCTCATAATTAATGCTGGTTGATTCCATTTTAACCCTCAAATCATTGATACTTCTCGAGGCCTCCAAAAGATCCTTTTGCAACTTATCTTTGTCTTCACTCATTGATCCAAAGTGACTCTCCATCTCCTGCTTTTCCTTGATTAGGTTCTGCCACTCAGCCGTCTTCTGTGCCAGCTCTTCCGCAGTTTTCTCAAGCATCTTCTGCAATTCCGAAACCTTCGTTCTCAAGTTAACACCATTCTGCTTTTCCTCATCCAATCCTTTCAATGCATTGTCCCTCTCAAGTGTTACTTGATCAAATGAATCTCTAAAGTGGCTAACTTCAGAAATCAATTCTTTGTTCTCCTTTTCATGATCCTCGCATGCCTCTTGCACCCTATTCACAACATTCCTCAGCTCACTCACTTTGTTGCGCAACTCAGCATTTTCATTCTCACAACTAGTTTTGACCTTTTCAATCTCAATTTTGTCTCCAACCAATTCCTCAATCTTCTTCTGCAGATCGTTTAATTCCTTCTCCTTCATTTCCAAAACCCTTCTAGTTATATCACTTTCCCCCAACAACAACTCAATTCTTCTCTGCATATCATCCGACTCCACCATTGTCATTTCCAACAATTTTGAGACTGAATCCTTTTCCTCCCTTAACCTCTCAATACTCCTTTCTTTTGCTCTTTTTTCTTCCACCAATGCACCAATCTCTATTGCCCGTTCAGCCTCCCTATCCATAGCCTCACCACAATTCTTTTCCAACTCAAAAACTTTAGACCGCAAAATCCCCTCTTCTTTCCTCAAACTCATTATAACCTCACTCATTTGCCGTACTTCCTTTTCCATCTGATCAATATTCACTCTTTGCTCATTTTTCTCCATCTCAATCTCTTTCCTCTCCCTCACAACCGCTTCTATTTCTCTTCTCAAACTCTCAACTTTCTTCACCATATCCTGCATGTTTTTGTCCAATACATCTCTGTCCTTCACCACCGAACTCTTCACTTTCTCCAACTCCTCTTTCTCCCCAACCAACCTATCATATCCCACTTTCAGTTTCTCTATCTCTTCCACAAACTTTCTCTCCTTTTTCTCCATTTTCATCAATTTCTCTTTCATCAAACTACTCTCCTTAACCTGTAACTCAAAATCATACCTTGCTAAATCTCTCTCTCTGCAAGCCAAACTCAACCTTTGACTCTCATTTTCAAGACTACCCATTAGTCCATTCACCTTAGTCTTCAACTCCCCAATCTCCCTTTCACTCCCAGCACCCATTTCCCTCATTTGGGCATTCATATAAACCCAAAGCAATCCATGTTGAAACTCCAAGCTCACATTTTTCTCACTCTCCTCACCGTCAAGTCCCTTCCTTTCACTCAACTCAGCCTGAAGGGCTTCATTGGCGTGAACCAAGGATTCAATCTGTTGCCTCTTTTCAACCGCCTCTTTGAGAAGCAAAGCGTTCAGAGACTTAAGATTTTGAAGCTTCCCATTAGGATCTTCCATGGAAGATTGGCGACTCAAAGGGTTGTAAGATTCTGTAAAGGTTGAATCTTTAACAGGGTCATGTGTTTCTTGAGATTGGTTTTGTTGTTTGTGGTCTTTGGCTTGACGGGACTGTTTCTTTTTGGCCATCTTTGGGAGTATTAGAGATAGGGTTTGGATTTTGAAGGCTAGGGTTCTTATGGTGGAGAAACAAGATACGGAGATAGACTGATAAAAAAAGCTGTGAAGAAAGGAGGGATTTTTTGAAGAGGGAATAAAAAAAAGGCTCGTTTTGAGGATTCAAATATTGGGGCCCAAAGCTCAAGGTCTGTTGGGAATTTGAAAAACCATAAAATAATGGGATCTTTGGATTTGGTTGTGGGGTTTTTCTTCCACAGTGACACTCCATTGTGTTCATGTGGCTGCTTTCCATTGGTAAATTTTTATTTTCAAACATAATAATTTTGTGAGTATTTAATAAAAAATAATTATGATAGCGTAATGTCTCGATTTTAGACCGTGGCATTAATAGATAAAAATTTAATTTTGAATTTATTTATCATAATAATTTATATTTTAGGGTATGCTTATGGCAAGTAATTTTTTACTTATCATTCATTGCTTTTACTTATATAGATAGAAAGCGTAAAAAAGGAGAAAGAGCCTTGAACTCAAATAATAAATCAGAAAAAATAAATGGAATGAAAGTGTTTTATGTTTGGGAATTTGGATAAGAGGATTGGAACCAACTCTTTGGTAGAAGGATGCATGTATTACCTTCAAATTAAATATAGAATGCATGAATGAAAGTGTTAAAATGAGGAGAAAATTTAATGATATGCAAATGCATTAATTCCTTTTAGTGCACAACTTTCAAAGGATGGAATATCAAATTCCTATATTTCCTTTTTTTCATTCTATTTTATCCCACAAAAGAATTACACTAGGAAAAGATTTTTTATCCCTACGACTAATGAACTTTTTTACCCTCAAATACTCCCCATGTGATGAATAAATTTAAAGTTGATTTACAATCAAGTCATTGCATGAAACATTGCTTAACCATTTCATTTTTTGGTTGAATATTTGGTCTCTATTTATTAATTTACTTTCCAAATTTACTTCTAGTTAGTTATGGAATTGAATATATAATTGGGAATTCCTTGTCATAAATAGCAAGCAACTTTTTCATAATATATATATTGGAATATTTTTTTGGGATGTACAACATATGGTATATCTATATGTATGCAAATAATCAGCCATAATTCATTTTCAAAAAGAAGAGAAAAGGAATAGGGAAATTTTATTAGAAAACAGTCTAAGCTTCCATGTATGGAGAGAGCAAATCATTTATCATTACATTAGTTTCCATATACGTTACACTATATTCATGCGTTATTCTCTGTCTGTTGGTTCTTTCAAGCCCTCCTTTTGACCCCACTAGATTATTTAAACCTATTTGTTTTCTTTTTATACCTTTCCCACTAACAATATTCAATAAGTTGATTCAACCCATATAGTGTAAAACTATGTATGGTTTTGTATGGAATCATGAAGTTAGAAGACTCTTCTCTCAAAGGTTCTTCTTCTTCCTCTTCCTCTTCTTCTCCTTTTAGTATAAGTTTTGAAGATAATGAATTTACTTTACATATATTTTTATGTTCATGAATTTCTGATGACTAGTTCATGTTGGTGAGCATATGCATGGGAATGAACCATATTGCTAGCTTAATTTTATGTTTTTCTTTTTCCTAGGAAATTAAGATATGATCAACCTTCTTTTCAAAGTTTGCATGGGATTAATGGAACGATGTAATTGATTTTTTCCCTTTGGTTTTTGGTGAGTAATATATTACAGAGCAATGAGAGTGGTATGGGTAGTGGCCATGATTGGAGGTCTAGGAGCTTTTGTTAGCTTTGTGGATCCTGATCATCATCTTCATCAGCCTCATCGGATCCTGGTTGATACAGATGTTGATACCGATGATGTTTTTGCTCTCTTTTATCTCTTGAAGCAAGACAGGACTCAATTCCATTTGCAGGTTTCTCTCTCTCTCGCTCTCTTTCTCTGGAATATCACCATCAATCTGCAGTATAGTTGCTTATTGTTTATCCAAAAGAGCTCTTGCTCCCTCTCTTTTTCCAATATCAACATCAGCCAATTGAGTATATTATAAAGAGATAAAAAAACAAAGGTACTAAAAGCAATTGCAAGCTTATCTAACTCTAATAATTCATTATCCGTATGCAAAAGAGAGATTAGAAAAATATTATATATCTGATTTAATATTGTATAATTTCAATCACACGCGATTGATATATTATTAATTATTAATATTTATTGATTGCAGGGAATTACTATCAATGCAAATGGATGGAGTGATGCTGGCCATGCCATCAATCATGTATACGATATTCTGTTTATGATGGATCGTGATGATATTCCTGTGGGAGTAGGAGGTGAAGGTGGCATTTTAGCCAATGGTACTATCCTTCCCAATGTTGGTGGATATCAACCCATAATTGACCAGGTTCATCTCTTTCATTAAAACTTTGAACATAGGCATATTCAGTGGACCAATGAGAGTGTACCATGTGTTGTCGACAAGGCTTTTTTTTTTTTTTTTTGTCAATGAAACTTAATTTTGGACTCTCCATTGGTATGATCATTCTTTTGGTCCATCATGAAAACTGAATTGGCAATACTATTTGGAGGTTGAGCTGACAAAATGAAGAAAAGCAAACCATGTATGCTTAACAATTTTTGTGTGGTGGCAGGAAATGTCAACTGCTGGGGAATGTAGATATAGACAAGCAATACCTGTGGCACGAAGAGGGCGTCTTGATGTCAACTCTAACTATGGCCTCAGAAAAGCTTTCCTTCCACAGGTCCCCTTTTCCGCTTCTTGAATCATATGTTGGTTGCAACAACATTAACCATAAGTAATGACTTGGTCTAGGCATTGTTGATCATCTTACAACAACTTTTTAAGCTTAAATGTATGGTCCTTGATAAATTAAACCGAATTGCTTCTAGTAACTGATTGGAGCTGATATCATGACACCTTTTCATGTTACTCTTCTAGTTTTGGTTTACAATGATATATGAACGGTGCTTGAGGTTGAATTCATTAAGCTTAAATGTGTTTCCAAGTCCTACTGACAGGCTTCCTCTACATGGCATAGGGTAGCAGGAGGTACACTCCTCTCCAGCAACCTACAGCACAAGAAGTGATGAAAGATGCAATTTCTTCAGGTCCTACAACTGTCTTTCTTTTGGGTGCACATACAAACTTTGCCATCTTCCTCATGAGCAATCCTGACTTGAAGAAAAATGTTAAACACATTTATGTCATGGGGGGTTCTGTTAGATCAAACTGTCCAAAGAATGACAGCTCTGATAATTCAGGGGAGTGTCCTAATATTGGTAACCTCTATCCCCAAGACAGCAACCCATACGCTGAGTTCAATATATTTTCAGATCCTTTTGCTGCCTACAAGGTAATGTATGGTTACTTCTGGTTGGTATTCATGAACTCATAGTAGTGTATTTGTTATTTGGATCTTTTTCTTTTGAGCAGGTGTTCCATTCTGGTATCCCAGTCACACTCGTTCCTCTGGATGCAACAAATACCATCCCTTTAAGTAGGAGTTTCTTCACGGAGTTTGAAAGGAGACAGGATACATATGAGGCAAAATACTGCTTCCAAGCTTTAAAAATTATTCGCGATACCTGGTTAAGTGATGTATTCCATGAGGTAATTTCTCTTGAAATCCTTTCTGGTTCATGCTTCCCTTTTTATCTAGTGGAATATATTCATCTAAGACATCCAAACTGATGAATTTTGGCAGCAATATTGTATGTGGGACTCTTTTCTGGTTGGTGTAGCATTATCTATAATGCGAAACTCTAGCAATGGAGAAAATGAGTTCGCTGAGATGCAATATATAAATATCTCAGTGGTTACCTCTAATGAACCTTATGGAATATCAGATGGCTCCAATCCGCTCATTACAGGGAATTCAATGCCAAAGTTTAAAGTAGACAAGAATGGGGTGCATAGTGGCCATGTTCAAATGGGAATGCAAGATCGTTTTTGCCTTCAGAAAGGAAAAGGGAAATGTCAGGTATCATCAATACAGACTATAGCTGATTATAATACTTAGGTCCTAATGCTTAGTTCATAAGCAAGTTGAATTAATACTTAATTCAGAAGAAACAACGTATGCATATAGTTTATTTTGTCCAACCATGACTGATCAGGTTCTGTCATTAAAAGATATTCGAAGCTGGTTTGAAATAGTAACTATGTTGATGAAGTTCTTTCGTTCTCTTAGAGAGTTATACAATCCTAACAGGATGGTTACACAAAAGAAGATACTGGAGAGGATGCGGTACGTGTTCTTGCTGCAATGAAAGCTAAATCAAACCATGAAAATGGGAGCTCACTTCAGAAAGAATTTTATAAAAGCTTTCTCCGAGTAAGTAAGTTCCTATAAACGTTTTCACCTTACCACCTTTTCTTCTGTTGTTTAATCAATGCTTAAAAGTCACAGACAAGTAATCAGGAAATGCTGAATGATATCTTGTTCTCTAAGATTAGGCTTTCTACTTGACATAAAAGTAAGTGCAGATAATGTAATTGACTGTGGTCATGAAGCTGGTGCAATGTTTTTGGAACTGAATTATAGTTTCATGCTCTCTGCTAATTGTAGGTTATAAACAGCCCTGAGAAAACTGGAAGGTTTGATATCAGAAAACAATATCTTTTCCACAGGGAGGTTCTTCATAAACCAGATTTTGGAAAGAAGATGAGTGGAAAACCAGTTGTTTTTGACATGGATATGAGTGCAGGGGACTTTCTAGCTCTTCTATATCTCCTCAAATTGCCTGTGGAACAAATCAACCTCAAGGTACAGTAGTTTATGGTGGATTTGCTAGGCCTAAATCCCAAGCTAGATTACTATCTCATGAAGTTAAGCAACTGTAACTGTGGATTGAACAAATATGGCAAGGTTCCACAAGTTACATTTAAGCATTACTAATGTTCAGGCTTTACATGGAACAGGACACCTAATTATTCCCTATCTTTATGGATTCTCACAAGTTCCTCATGCTTGATTTTTCTATGTTCAACTAGGGAATACTAATCTGCTCAACTGGCTGGGCAACTTCTGCAACAATAGATGTTGTATATGATATACTACATATGATGGGCCGCGATGACATTCCAGTTGGTCTTGGTAAAGCATTTGCAGTTGGGCAAGCCAATCCAGCTTTCTCTGCTATTGGAGACTGCAAGTACTCGAAAGCTATCCCTCATGGTAGTGGTGGTTACTTGGACTCCGACACATTATATGGACTTGCTCGTGACTTACCTCGAAGTCCAAGAAGGTGACATTCCTGGCCTTCAGATTTTCATTCTTATATGTGTAGTTTGTAGAATGATTGGATATGAAAAATACATTTTAAATGCTTTGGCCCCTTCTCTACCAGTTGTGTAAGCATTAGCTTTAGGTAGCATCCAAGACGAAATCCTCAAAAGAACTGATAGAATTCGAACTAATACTATATTAACAATTCCATATACATAAATGATTTCAAAACATCCATAAGCGAAAACAAGGTTAAACATATGTGGCATTCTGATAACTTTTTCAGATACACAGCAGAAAACTCTGTCAAGTTTGGAGCTTCTAGAGATACCGATCATCCTGAACTTAGGCAACCGTCAGCGCTAGATGTTTGGAAGTCTATAGTGGACTCTTTGGATGCAGGATCAAAGATCACTTTGTTAATGAATGGACCTTTGACAAACTTAGCAGAGATCATTTTGTCAGAGAATGCAAGCTCAATGATTCAGGTAAACAATGTCAAAATGGTCCTGTTGTAAATCATAGGCAGGCACCTCTAAGGGAATTGCACTGTCATGTAAGAAATACTTGTTTTGATTTTCATTATTTCACAAGCGTTGCTGCCCTATGCCAGGAACGTCAAGCCTAGACCAAATGATGACACTGTCTACTTATGTCTTCTGATGCAGGGAGTATACATTGTTGGAGGACACATAGCCTATGTCAATGACAATGGGAAAGGAAATCTTTTCACTGTTCCCTCCAATGAATATGCAGAATTTAACATGTTTCTTGATCCTTTAGCTGCAAAGGAAGTTTTTACTTCATCTCTGGACATCACGCTTGTTCCACTGCAAATGCAAAGAAGAGTTAGTTCCTTCAGCTCAATTCTTAACAGGATGAATCTCACAGCTCTGACACCTGAAGCTTTGTTTGTCCAACGTCTACTCTCAAGACTTTGGCAATTAGAACAGGAACATTATAGATATCATCACATGGTAAATAGAAACGTTCAGGCATATATCTTATGATGTCTTAGTTCAGTTATAAGGGTGTTACATTCTTCCAAAGAGAGGTTGAAACCGATGATGGACAAATGTTTCAGAGATGATATGTACACATAGAAATGCTTAAAATGATTTTTACATTTAAAGAGAATTTGATAAAGTTTTGGACTTTTAATGATTGACTGCAACAATTTTGTATCTTTGCAGGATATATTTTTGGGAGAGATCCTTGGAGCAGTAGTCTTGGCTGCAAATCCACACTTGAACCAGACATTTAGGTTGAAGCCTCTTAAGGTCTTGGCAGATGGAGACATAACAAATATAGGAGAGATTATTATTGATAAAGAACAAGGGAAGCAAGTGCTTGTTTTGGAAAATGTTAATCCACAGGCATACTATGATCATTTTGCAAGGGTCTTAGGTGATCACAGGCAGTCCGCTGTGCTAGGAAGCTTTCATGAGCAGGAAAGAATGTGGAATTCACCAGCAGCAAAGACAAACATCGTTCATAATCAGCACTCATAAATGTTTGTTTGAACTTCATCTATCTTTTTAAAAACAGTTTTGACACCTTTTGCTTTGGAATTCAACTGCAAATATGAAAGAAGCTGTTTCTATGTTGTGTATCAGCATAGCAACAAGTGAAGTTAAAGAGAAAGTTGCAAGATGTTTGTCTTCCTTTGTGTTGCCTATCTCTTTCTTCTAAATTTCAGCTACCTGATCCAGCTATTCATCATCATATCAGATCCTTCAGTTAATTGAACTTGATTTACAATTTACATGAAAATTTATTTTACTTCACGCATAGTTATATGTATATTATACAAATGAAGATACATATGCACCATTATAAGTAAAGAAACAGCATTTCCTTTTCAATAATGAGATTAGATTGCGGTTAATCATTTGCTAATCATTCAGAATCCATAGCCTTTATTTCAGTATTGGGACAATCAAGAGAATATTCATGGAGTCCGCCTTTGGAAAGAAACATTCAGATATGCTTCAGATACAGAATATCAGAGATCATTCAATAAAATTAAGTAAATATTAAGCAATGATTCTCTGATTTATATAACTCATCAATCTTATTGATGGGTACTTAAATGGAACCGGTCAGTTTTTTTTTACGTCCTTTTTTTTTTTCATATTTTCTTATTGTTAAGCAAACAAACTTCAAGTATTGATTAATAACTTAATTTCCCATCAAGTAAAAGACATCATCAGGTCAGGTCTGACAGTTGTTCAGATTTAGCTCTTTGCACTTAGCATCATGCTCTCGGGTGATGATTTGGACATGTACTAACCTTTAGTTTGCATAGGAAACTTTGAATGCTCCCTGATTCTTCAACATAAATGTACTGACTCGTGTCTTTCAATGTCTGGGTGGTTGTAACTTAATAAGTTATAAACTGTGACACCATGGCAGTGCATGAACATGCTTATAATCCCTGCACTTGGATCCATCTGTCCTTTGCATTACTCATAATATTAGCATGATATAGCATAAAATGGAATCTCCCCAGCTGGAAATTTCTTTTGGGGGGGCAAGGGGAGGTACAGTATCATATTTGAATTAATATTATTTAAAATTTGGCCATGCCTACCATGGCTTTTGCTTTTCCGCAGTGATGGATTCCTTCTTCATTCTGATGAATCAGTGGCTAGATTGCCAAAGGGGTTTCACATTTAGTTCTTGAATCATCCTGTAAATAGTTTGATAATCCTAGCAACCAGGTAACCAGTTCATGGTGGTGGATTCTTTCCTGAAAGTCTGAGTCAACATCTTACGGGTATAATCATTGTATGTTTCATCTTGGAATTGAAAGCATGAAAAAGATTGAACTAAGATGGGTCGGTGACTTGGTGGGTGATGATGATATCGATTGTTTATAAAATATGAAAGCATGAAAGAAAAATTATTTGATATTCTGTCATTACAGCATGTAATTTGGCTTTGCTTGCAGGATTACTAGCAAACAAGGGGGACATCCCATTCATGTGAAAATAGTTGACCTTCATATAATAATCATGTTCAATGAATGTGAAAGAGATCACACTGAATGGTGATTATAAAAGAAAAACTTTCAGACTTCGAGAGAAATCACCCCAACAACGTGGGGTTTGGCCTTCATTTTCAATGCCTAAAATGCAACAATAACCCACTAGTATAATCATTGAAGTACGTCAATGGAGATATCCTGTCTGTAACAGTGAATGGACGGTGATAAAATTTTAGTTGGCCGATACATTTTCTGTCCTTGAAGATCTCCATCAACTTACATGGTGGTTGAACTCATTGACCAAAATGGTTTAATCTATATCCAATTTAGCCTGCCATTCAAATTTCTTTTCTGGGTTTAATATGAAAACTTGCCACTTGCATGGTTAAGTGCTGCCTTCACCTTGATGAGTTGATTCAGACAGACCAGTATATGGAAAAACATCTGATTGTCAACTTGGCTGACCTTGTCTAGCTGACTTCTAATTGAGAGAAGTTAGTATCAATAAGAATGGTTTTAGCAGAAATTGTTTGATAAGAATTGTTGTTTCATCAATATCATGAATCTGTACTCTTTATGTTTGGTTGCAGACTGTAATACACTGGTAGGACTAGTTGCTGGAGGATTATCAAAATTGATTGCTTAAAAGTTCAACTTTTTTAGTTTTCCTTTTTTTACCCAACTTCTGTTGAATTCCACTTGCTTTACCTAAAAGGAAGGTAAAAGAACAGGAAAATTCAGAATTATTACTTTTTAATTCCGCATATTGTAATGTTTACTTTAGAATCAAGTTCTAGAACCTCCATAATTCTTGCACCAGTAGACTGCTTCTTCTACCTACTGTGGGTTGTTGTTTCATGATGCTAAGAGAATCTCCAATCCTAATCTGCAGGGACGAAAGAATGACTCAACCACTCCTACCCCACACTATCATCTCTTGCAATCTGTTTTGCTAAAAGGACTGGCTCTAGACATGTCTGAACTATGCTTTAAAGGGTTAGAGAGAACTAAGCTGAATGGTTACTGTTGGATTGGTACAGGTTTGAAAGAGGAAGGGCTTATTCTTGTTTCTATGAGTTTAGACTGTGTTCTGTCATCTTGGTGCTCCTGCTTAGCTCACATACTTGTGCTAGACATGTGCCAACATGCAACACAACTGGGGAGCTAAAAATCAAGATTTTGTTTGGTCTGGTTTCAATTTTAATGGATAATGACTGCGCAATAGTTTGATACATGGCCCTCTCCAGGCATAGGAAAAAAATTTTTTGGTCTCATTAGGCCTCAGCAGCTCTGGTAGCTTTGATGTATACATTTCCAATCTCATAAGTCAAAGTGTGCTCCAAAGGATGGAGTATTCCTGATAAGAGCTGTTTCTTTTGTCCGTATGTTGTTTCTAAATCGATTGATAATTATTGGAGCTAGAAATTCAAAGATCAACAAACAGAAAGCAATGGAGAGGTAAAAGCTGGAAGGGTTTATTCACATTCTTTGTCATTGCTCATACACTGGATATGATACAAGCTTAAGCTCGAAAGTAGATAGAACCCTTCAGTAGCTTAGGAACCCTGCTAAAAACTGCAAGACAAGCAACAAAGACGAGAAAAACTTTTCTACATAGCCAAAATTCCATTTTGGTCTCTGGTTTTTTTCTCTGCAGATGATCATAGGCCTCTCTGAAGCAACTATTACATAGGAACTGAGCCTCCAGCGGCCAAGATCTGTTGTTCAAGCTGCAGTCAAACAAAATGGAAAATCAATTCTTGGGAGTCAAAAACAAGGAATCTGGATAAATCCTGTTCAGAAAAAGACTATCTCTTCTGATGAGGTAGATTTCTCAACATTACCTTGAACATGGTTTCAAGCTTGGTTTTCACAAGGGAATACTCATGCTTCACTTGTTGGAGGCATTTAAGACACCTATAGAAGACATCAAGGCTTGAAACTTCTCACAACTATATTAACACTAAAACAAATCCACAGCAATGATCTGAGGCATGAGAAAAAACTCACCCTTCCACATTCTGCTCCTCGCAGTCGTTGCGGAAGGCTATGCAGACTTTCTGAACTCTCTGAGCACCGATGCTGTTAATTTAAGAACATTTTATCCATGAGATAACAGTGACAGAAATATGAAGAAGAACTTGTTCCTATGACCAGAGATAGGCTAAGTTATACAATTAATAGTCTTTTTTCATGTGGGACACATAGTGGAACCCCGATCTTAAAATAGGTGAAAAATTGATGGCCATAAATACAAGATTAACAAGTACAGATTTGTTATAGCTGTGCATCAATATGAACCCTGTGGAAGTAGATTTGCAACTTGAAACTGATTCTGGCAGTGACAGAATCTTATTGACGTTACTAAGTTTTCATCTCTAGGACAACTAATAGTATTTCGTCCATGGAGAAACAGCAAAAATCATGATGGTACATGTGCTTTAAGGGATGAAAAGTATGTTGGTACAAAATTGGCTTTAACCATTGAAAAAAACTATTTACTTACAAAAATGCATATGGTGTTTCTCATGCTGGAAACAAGTGGTGGCAAAGAAGATTACCCAAAATGGAAAGAAAATCTCATCTGAGGCTAAAATTAGAAAGTGAGGTTTAAAAATAGAGAAAAGAAGACAAATACCTGGAGCTGCTACCCTTCAACTGGTGGACATGAGCATCCAACCTTTTGAAATCTATGCTCTGCTGCTCTCTACATAAGATCAGAAACAATGACCAAAAGCCACGTTAAGACATGCAGAAATGTCAAGAGTAAACCAAAGCAGAAAATAGAGTCCTTGATATCAATTTACACCATTAGAAGATTATGAGTAAAATCCTCACAGAGCTTTAGTCAGTTCATTAAGAAGTCTTTCAGAATCTTCAAAGAAAAGAGACACCACTTCAACCACAAAATCTGGGTTATTCTCATCTTGGAGTTCCTGAAGTTGGGTAAATTGCTCGTCCAGGAAAGCCTACTCATAAAACAAGGAACTCATCACCAAAAATCTAATCCAAAAGCAAAGCAACCTTCCTTCAATGACTATGGTCACCAAGCATAGCAAACTACACATCCTCATGAAATGGGGTTAGGAAGAAATAAAATGATAAATAGCATAACCAACAGGCAAAAACAAAGCAACTTTGTTCCTGAATGTCCACAGTTTCTAATATAACAAAAAACTAACCTCATGATAGAGTGAGGCTCGGTAGTCAACTAACTGCCTTTGCAACTGAACCACATCCATTGCAGCTAGCTTTTAAGTCACCTTCCCACTTGCAGATCTTACAGAATTATATCATGCTCTTTCCTTAAAATGAGTGGAAAGCTGAGCCTGATTAAATGGATATTATAGTGTTAGAAGCCAAAGAATCTTGCCCTTGGAAGTGGGCAATAAATAACTACAGTATATGTAAAGTCACTCCTTTCCTCTCTCTCTCTCCCTCTTTTGTTGTTTTTTCCCTTTCTCCTCTGGGTTTGTGTGTCTGTTTTCTTTGCCTCCTCTATTTAACCTCATCATTTATGAGCAAGTTGAAAACTCTGAAATATATATATATATATATACATATATATATATATGTATATATTTATATAAAAAAGCAACACAAGATCCAAAACTTGATGCCATGTACCATTCACCCTCCCCATCTTTTTCTTTCAGTAATTATTGCTCTTTCCCTTTCTCTCCCCCGCCCCCCTCCCCCCCACACCCGCCTTCCCTCCCTCATATCATTTTCTTCAATATGTTTATTATTATGTTTTCCTATGCAAAGTGCCAACCAGCCTAAAGGATATAGCAATGCTGCCAACACCGCATTCAGTTACCAGATAATTTATTCCACTGTCAGCAGTGAATTCCAATATTTTAATCATGGCAGCAACAGTTGAGACAAAAAATTTTCACACCATATCTCATTGATTCATTATTGAAAATCCAAATCCACTTAAGTTAAATGCCATAGTTCATGTCTCAAGAAACACCAAAAAAAAAAAGAAAACAAAAGAAAAAGATCAGTTGGGTGGCACCAGACAGAAGAAGGTTAGGTCAGTTTTATTGGGGCATGCATATTTTGCTGACACATGCAAGATTTCATTTGCTTGGAATGAGGGACTTTTTCCCTCAAGGTAATTTAGGACATTGAAAAGACTGCCATGTAAACTCCTTTTTAACAGTTTTGCAAGAACCTAATAACATGGGATGAAAAAGACCCACATTTTCAGGCCAAATTTTGCAACAAGTGACAGTGATGTGAAAACCATGTTACATCCCTTTGCATGAGAGATATTTTGTTTTTGGGTGAAGTTTTGTCTCTTCTGGAACCAAGTAATCAAAAGGGTGATGCTGTTATTCAGTCTTTGGCAAATAAAAAGTGTAAATCTAACATCCTTATCTTAAAAAAAAAAAAAATCAAGTTGGGTATGATTATGGACTCTGTAGTTGTTACAGCAGAATATCCATTTCTATCTTACCTACTACCCCCTCTCTTCCCTCTTATCCCTTCTCTCATTTTATGCCTATGTGCTTGTCAATCTTTTGAAAGAATCTTATCATGTTGCTGCCCTTTCATGCCACAGTTGTTGTATGTGATGTTGTTGTTGTCTTGTTGGATAATATGTTTCTATAGATTAATTGGTTATAGGAGTGATTCAGGAACAGAGACATCTGGCCACAGAACATGCTTTAAAATCTTTGCTTTTGGCTTTTACTTTCCCAAGGTTACTTCAATCTTCCCACATTCTGCACTAGCTGAGGGAGAAAACAACAGGAAAAGCAATAAAGGAAAGTAGAGGCAAGGAATCATTTTTTCCTTTTTCATTTTAGGGACAAAGGCATGATTTTTGCAATGTTGAAGCTTTGCAGTTATGTCATTTTCTCATGAATCCTATCAGTAAAAAATAAGAGAGTCTTGAATTTATAATTAAGGATTTATTTTCATTTGATAAGTATATTTTTTGAATTAAAAAATATGAATTTATGATAATTTTATATATGTTTTTTAATTAGACCGATTAGTCGAATTGATCGAATCAATTGAATTTCAAACCGATTCAATCTTCGGTCTAATTTTAAAAAAAATTAATAGAAAGTTTCCAAATGAATGGAGAAATTATTGGAGGGCCCTTAGAGTGAATTAAAATTCTTTTGTCTTGGCCCCTTGAAAATGATTTTGTAGAGTTTTTGTGAATTAATTAAGGATGAAAAAAATGGAAAAGCAAATAGCCTTTTGGAACACATTTCATTATCTGTCCAACATTATTCACGAAAAGGTGCTTTGGAGGTTTGATTAAGGTTGTTAAGGTGATTCCATGTCATAAAACCCATCAAAATATAACTATAATAATGATAATTAATGAAGTGGGTTTTATTTAGTTAATCTTAGAAAATTATGAATCAACTGAAATTCTAAAATTATATGAAATTATTTTTTTTTAACATGTGACATACGTGACGTATAAATCGTCAAAATTTCGAAATCATATGAAATACTATCCCTTTTGGAATATCACTGACAATTTCCCAAGAATCTCCTAATCAAAATGCATTCCAAGAATAGTTGATCAGCATAATTTGTGTTCAAACTTTGGAGGCTAATAAGAGCAGGTCATGTGTTTAGCATCTAGTATTGGCCTAAGGCTAAATAAAGGTTTGGGGACCCTCCATGGCGTATTCAACAGCCCATTCAATAGTGTGTCGGATTAAGACAATTCAAAGCCCCTTAAAACGACAAAATGGACCCTCTCCCCGGTGGACTGGACACCAAAGAAAATGGCTCCAATCTCCATAGTCGCAGGGGCCTAACTGAGCCCCTCTTTAAAGTTTTCTTTGGCAAAGCAGCCAATATATACTGTCATGTTGCCAAAGTTTTCTTCTTCTAGGGAAGTGCATAGCAAAATTAAAATTAAGCAAATCATGGTGGAGATTTTAGGGAGATTTGCCCTCATCAGGATGATGGGAAAGAGTATCTCAGTGACTGCTTAGAGTTGAAGGGACCACTGACTGCCTGTCTAACTCTCCTTTGATGGGAAGGGCATCTAGGGTGGGGGCCAATTTCCCATGGGAGGAGATTTCATGCCATAAATGTAGCAGCAATAGCAGGCCACAAGAATACAAAGGTGCAGGATGTTTCTGGGTATCCAAAGTTTTGTGAATGAACAGAAGAAAAGCTCATCAATAGAGAAAAAGTTTTATTGGATGAGTGTTACTCTGCAGGACTCGCAAATAGTGCACATTTGCATAATTCAATGCACTACTTACTAGTTTCTTGTTTTGTCTGTATCAAGTGCTGTTGCCTGTTGGCTCCTCCTAACACTAGATATCTGCTAAAAGGGCCCAAGAGTATTTGAAACCAAATAGGCTCATATGGCATCAGCAACCTGTTACATTTCAACCAGTGTACATCAAGTAAACCAAAATTTACCAAGTTTGCTGCAACTGAAACTAGGAGGAATCTTTTTCTTGTAGTATCTGACTTTCCCGTTGGTAAGGGCCCCTTTTCTCATTCTATTTTCCTCCTACCAAAGAATAAAGGGGGGAAAAAACTATTTTCCTTTCTCTTTCCCCCTTACCAAACATAACCCAAGTTAGTCCAGACCCCAAACTAGTAAAGCCTCATGGATGATTGATCTAAATCCTCAGGATGTATGCAATAGCAAGAAAGAACCTGGCTTAGAGAAACAGAATCTAAACAAAAACTAGTGCACAACACAATATACAACAATTCATTTTCTTTTTTTATTATTTTTGTCTTTGAAGAATGAATATGGTTACACAGCACAGAAAGAACCCTGTCCCCACAAATCATTTGTATTATCAATATCAATTTACAACATTTACATTGGGAGGGAAGAAACCAGAGATTTGCCCTGGCGGCACAATAAGCCAGTGATTATATTTCTTGAACCAATCAGTCAGTAGCTTTATAAATCTTCAATTAGTATGTGAACCCCCCACAAGGCTGACGTTTGACCAAAGGGACCTGAAGTTGACAATACAAACGTACATGAAGGCGGCAAGAGCGCATCAGGAAAGAAACACAAGCAGATACAACTCAACCTGCCACAAATGGGAATGATGATTTCAATAAGGTTTTTGTCTCAATAGAGGATATAAAGACAGTTGTATGTTACATGGAAGAAGTTAAATTTTAGAAGCTTGGGTTCCCATACTAGAATGCATCATCTAAATGAATAAGAACAATCAGATAACAGATTTAGATACTTACCCTCCTCAGAGAAGGCAAAAACACCCCCAAGCATTTCATCATTGTCACCTTCTTCCTCAGATTTTTCTCTGTCATAAGGACCACTGCTGCTGTCAACATCAGTAACAACCTCTGTCGGTTCACGACATGCACTTAAGGGCAATGCTTTACAGTACTCTTCTTGAAAAAATTGCTCAAAATCCGGTGAGTCATTTACTGGTCCCTCATCTAACATGTTCAAACTCAAATCAGATCGGTTAGAACTTGTGTTTGAAACTTCACTGGTTCCTCCACTGTTTGGAAATTGAACCTCCTTTGCAACAGTTCTTCCACCAGATAAAGAGCCACTTGTCAATGATGACAGACTGTTAGTAGAGTTCCTATCTTCAACGTGACAAACACCCTGATTAAAAGAAATTGAACCAGTATCTTTGTTAAGATTGCTCTGATTAAGCATAGACGATGCCAAAACAGAACTCTGTCCTTTTACCCCACTACTATCCTTCCCAGATTGAACGCTGGATGGAGAAGAATTCCTTGATGATCCTGGTTAAAACACCAATCATCAAATGAGTTACATGAATCCATGAGTTTATTAGATGATATCTAAATTTTAAAAATTGTCATACCACTATCTGAGTTTTCAACACAGCTAGGTGACATCAACTTAGAGTGAGAAATAACAGTGACTTCAGAGAATCTTGCTTTGGCATCATGAGAAGATGACATTGGATATTTTTCTCCATCAAAGTCCCTACACAGAAAGAAGAAGAAGAAGAACAAAGGAACAATGTGAAGGATAATACATCTGACGATATAAATGCCATTCTACACCATGTAACACCATCCAACATCCTCCATTCCCCCCCTTTCACCCTCCCTTTCCAAAAAAAAAAAAAAAACCGAATGATTAAAGAAGAAAGATCACCACAAAATTCTTTCAGATGCGATTCATTCAGACTGCTATAATATGACTCTTGAAGAACCTCACTTCCAATTATCTATCCATTTTTTCATCTAGCCCTTATTCTACTAGATAACTACTTCTAGGACTTTTTAGATTAAAAAAAAAATGAGAACAGTCAAAACCAGAAAAGGCACAATGTAAAGAACACAGAAATTACCTGTCATTCCATTCAGATTGAATCCTCTGAAAATGCTCAAAAACAGGCAATAAATCCCTCTGTCTAATTTCCACCTCATGAGCAGGGATCTTTTCTATTTCCATTTCTCCACCATTACGCTCATCTAACCCCAAAGGACTCATTGTATAGAAAGATACCTAAAAAAATGCATATGAGATGTAAGTGAAACTGGTTATGAGCAAGTGTATCTCATGAAAATATCATAAACAACTACCCTAGGATTCTGCCAGATTGCAATCCTTCCAGAGCTTAGCTGCACTTCTGCATTGGAAAGATACAAGTGATACTGATCTTGGGGCTTTGACAGGTCCTTGTGCCCAACTTCATTATCTTCAAAATCAGAAACATCCGCAATCATCTCTAATGCTTCTTTTCTTCCATGAGTTATTCCAGAAAGGCATTCCTCTCTTTCTGGCCAATCTGTTCTTCGGCATACATCCCAGGCTTGCATAGCTTCAACTTTCACCCGTAACTCCTCTTCTTGTACCTGAACAGCAGAACCTGGCCCAATTCTTGAAGCACTTTCACCTGCCTCTCCCCCAAATGAAGGCAGTAGCTTATGTTGAACAACATGACCAGAAGGAGTGTAAACTAATAGGTTCTCCAAATCATTTGCTTTTACTTGAGCTCGTTGTAAAACATTAGGTAAAGAGTTATGGAAAACAGCAGAAAAAGCACCAGACGGGAAGGAGGCCTTTCCAGCAGCAGAAGATGCAGCATTGGTAACAGTATTAAGCCATCCGGAGTTACCATTTTTTATTCTGCTAACAACAGAGAGGGTGACAGTTGGTGGTGCTGGTGAAGAAAAGGTTTGATAGTTTGTCATGAAAGATAGAGTGGACCACCAAGGGAGAGATACAGCTGGTGATAAGGTAGCCCCATCTACATGAGAATTCTGAATCTGGAGAACATTCTCACCACCAAATGGGGAAAGAACAAAAATATGGCAAGTACCCCGAGATGAAACAATGGCAATCCACTGACTGTAAGCACTAAAACAGATATCTTGTATCACCTGCAAAAACAAAACAAAAATAGATGAGAAATTATAGATAGATAAAGCATCACAATTTTTTTAAAAAATAGGAGGTGCAGGAGCATACGGCTGATGTCATGCCACGATGGAGCTTGTAAAGGTGTACATGTGAAGAGCTCCAATCAGAATTTTGAGTGCCAGATCCATTCTTTGCTGAGGATGGCATAATCCGAAAAATATTTATATTGTTCCCATGTATTGAGGCTGTAACCAGAAGAGTTCCACTGGGATCAAAACAAAGGGCAGAAATTGGACTTGCATGAGCCCTGAACTGTGATACAACAGCTCTGGAAACAAAATCTTTGACAACAACCTGCAATGAACCGTATAAACAAGAAAATCTTAAAATTTCATGGTTGAAAATTAATAGGTCAAAATTTTCATGACTCTGACATTTAGTTTTTGTAAGGACTAATGAGCTGAATATTATCTCATCTAGTACCTCTCTGAGAAAGTTGAACTCAAACATGTGTTTGACATAAAAATTCAAGAATATAGGCAAAGATATGGACAATAGCCTTCTACATCAAGATAGAATTAAAGTGCAAAGATCATGTGTTTTACAATCAGGCATTTTAAAATAAGATTAAAGTTCGCTTCTCAGATACATCAAGGACTAACCGTCCCAGCAATATCAGTCTCTGCAGAATGTGATCCACCCCGACCAACTTTCCAGCCTGAATTTGAAGATCCAGGAGAACCAGTACCATCAGGAATAAGATCTTGATAGTATTTCGACAAAGTTTTGTAGCCCATGTCACCCAGATTAATCAACCCAGCAGCTAACTGCTTACTAGATTCCATCGCATATCGAGCCACAAGACTCCCACTGCTGGGTGAAGTTGATGGGCTAACACCAGGAGAAGGAGTAAGGTTCTGTGGACTCAGGCGACCTGTATTTGACTGCAAAGGATTGTTGGAAGCATAAGCTAACCACCTGGGACCCACTGCCATGGGACCATATCCGATATTAATCCCACCCATTCCTTGGCCTACTGCCTGAGGGACAGGATAGGTGAGGACACTAAATTTATTTTCAAGAGTGAGAGCATCGAGGCAGTATATCTGCAAGCCAATAAAAGAAATGAGCACAGTTTCAGTTGTTTCACTTCATCTAAATAATTGGTCAAATAAAAGAAACTAAAAAATGTATCTAAACTAAACCATCCTTCAATCAACATCTGGATTAAACACAAGCAGTCCAGGGACCATCAAATCTGATTATATCAGTTTTACGTTGAACTGGAGATTCCAAACAAAATAAAAAAGGAGGATAACAAATCCCTTAATCTGTCTGATCCTGTTTACGAAAAATGCAAAATACTAGTTGTAACCAAAACTAAGTTTGAGGAGTAAAAAGAAAAAGAATTAGCTAAGTCTTACTTGTGTTGCAAGCCCCACAGCAACTATTCGAGGACTGCATCTAACCATATATACAGTTGACCGGAATCTCAGTACATGAACATAATTATGAGACCTTAGGGAATAGAATCGAACAGCAGTAGGCGAGATAAGGACATTTCCGTTTTGAGGCTCATCAAAACCATCTCTAGCCAATCCATCTCTTCCACTAAGCATCAAACCTGAGCCCTTTGACTCATCACACGCAACAACCAGAAGTAAAGGATGTGATGCTCTAAATCCTTCACGGCCATCAGACTTTTCAGGGAGCGGCTGCATTTGTAAAAATGTAACTGGATCATCACGCCTTGAAACAAGTTCACTGACATTAGAGGCATCTTCGACATCAAGAACTTGAAAACCATTGGAGTATCCAAGTAAGAGAACATGTTTAAAAGATGACAGACTGAGCTCTAGTCTGTCAAAGGAAGCCCAGAGGACCTGTTTTACAAAAGATTTCAATGTGAAAGCAGATAGAGTGAGCAACAAGGTTCAAGGCAAATGCACATAGAAGTTATGCAAGCCACCAAATAGGAATGTAACAAAAAAAAACCATTGCCAGCAATGAGACGCAAATAAATTTATATATCTACATCTCACATTCACCACCACCTTCTTATGATAAGGGGTAAACTATTTCCCTCATCCTTTACAAGGAGCTACTGCCATTAAAAGTTGAGCAACTGATAAAAAACTTGCATGCAATAAATGGCATTGAGCAGTTGAGTTTCCATTTTGGCATTTTTGACCTTAAAGGAACTCAAATCACAGCATTAAACTAGAATTAATAGAACAGAATGGCCCGTACTGGAAAAAGCGAACAAGAATCAAATGATTGGCACAAGGAAATCTTATAAACAACAGTCTCTGTTACTCTGTCCAGAACTCAATATGGTTCACATAAAAATAACTAAACTCCCCGTAGTCATCATTCCAAATTTATAACCTCATCTTTTTCACAAAGCTACAATTGTAAATAGGCCAAGAAAATGATCAATTATTTTTGTGCAAAATAATAGCATCAATGTCCTGAGCTTCGATTGTGATTTTGACCTTAAAAACATGACTCGCACATTATACAGACTAAGTATCTCGTTCCTTAACTCCCTAAGACATCATTTCCAACAAATATCATCTAAACATTGGTTTGGTTATTACAAAAATATAGTCAAAATTAAAAAACTAAATCAGCCGATTATATGATCAACTATCTTTCATTTGCCTTCCTTAAGTAAATTATTTACGATTTCAATCATTTTAATAAAAACTCCAAAAATTAACATCATTTTCAACAAAAACAATGCATTGTCCATTCCGTAGCCACTAAAAGACAACAGATATACAAAAATTTAAGAAAAAAAAAAAAAAAAGAGATTCCTATGCACCTTTTAATTTTCTTTTTTCTTTTTGAAAAAAAAAATCATTTTCAACAAAAAAAACTTGAATTTCAGCAAATATTAACCAAAAAATTAAGTTAAAAAATAAAGTTCGTAAACAAGTTAACTTTTTTGCTCTACATTACAACATTCAGTTAACTACGCCCTAATTCACTAGAAGAACTAATTTTTACTTTAATCTAAATTAAAAGGGAAAAACCTATAAAATCACCACATTTGAATTTCTCTTTCTTCTTTCTGAGCAACCAAACAGCAAGTGAAAGTAAAAAAAGAGCTTACTTTTTCAAAACAAAAAGAACCCTACAATCAACAATATTTTTTTAAAAATATCTAAATTAATCAAGGTTGTAATTAAATAATCAACAGCTAATAATCAATAATTAAAAATATTAAAAACAGAAAACCTGGTCTTTATTGTGTTCGACGGAGTCTCCAGAAATGGAAGCGGCGACGGAGGCACTAGCTGACCGGACACCGGAAGAGGCTGTCTTTATGCAAGAAGATATGAATTTCAGAGAATTCGGCAAGAAATGACTGTTACTTTTGTTATTGTTATTGATATTGGAGCCTTTGTTGTTTCCGTTGTCGCCGTTGCTCTTCATAGTCAAGATATAATCCCAGATTTAATTTCTTCAACCGGCCACCGGGGCGTTACCGGGAAAGGAAAAACGATCAGCAATAGCATAAGAGGAAACTAACAATACGGCGGCGTTCTACGGGTTCGGCGGTCACCGGCCACAAAAAGTTCTCGGTTCTTTTTTTTTTTGGTTTTGCGGTGGTTGGGTTTGACCTTTAACAGAGAGAACACAATAGAGGGAGAGAAAAGACGGTTCTTTGCTTTTTGTTAAATGTTACATTGCAGTGTAAGCAAGAAATGGAGGAATTGAAGATGAGCCCTTCGTAGTTTTAGGATAGTTCAATTGGGTCCTTTCTGGTCAAATGGTTTTGGTTGACAGGTTATCTGCTAGTTGGGGTTGTTTCATGGACTTTGAAGGGCTGAGATTGTGAAATTACATAATTGTCCTTCCATGGGATTATGGGAAACTTCTTGGGATTCCTAACCCAAAATTGGGTAAATGATTGATTGATTTTTGTAGTAACTAATCTCTTGTATTAATCATAACTTTAATTATATAGGAATTTAGATTCGTCGAATATTTACTTATTTTTACATATTGATCTAAATTCATCATATAAAATATTTAAAATAAATAAAAATTAATTAATTATTAAATTTTCTCAACTAATTATATGATTTTCTTTAATCGAGAAAATTTAATAATTTCATGATATAAATATTAAAGTTAAAAAAAATATACAATCCAAAATCACTTACCATTTATCAAGCAAATTAAACCCAAAGTTAAAAATTAAATTCTCTTTTTGATAAAGAATTCTTTTGTTTTGTTTTGCTTTATAAATAATATTTATATATTATTATTTAATCACTATTATCTTATAATTGTTTAACAATAAAGATTTAAAACTTACCGAAGATAAAATTTAATTTATTGATAACGTAGATATACACAAATTAAACGTTTATTTAAAAAGAAGGAATTTACTATCGACGTTATCGACCAATTAATGGTGGCTGCTTACTGACACACGTAAGTGAAGCCCCATTTTGTTGACATTGCAACAATGAGCACAGCATGTCGAAATTATGAAACTCGTGGGGGTAATCAATTTAAAAAATTTCGGGAAACCGCAAGGACGAAAATGGAGAAAAGAAAAAAGTTAGGGGGCGGAGAGGGGAAATAAAGGGAAGTAGGAGGGGGAGATCGGTTACGTTACGACAGGGGACGAGCATATCTTGAAGGGAGATGCCGAACCACAAAACCCGGGGGTAGATTTGCACCGTTGTCAACCGTGAACTCTCGTTTGCATATTTGGAGAGAGAAAAATTAAAATTAAATAAAATTAAATAAACTGGCAAACCGTACAGGAATCCGGCCTGGCAGCTCAAAGACATTAGGCTAACTTGACGTGTCAGCTTCGCTTCCTCCATGCCACCACGTTCATCTGACGTGTCATTTTGAACTTGTTTTTCAATTTTTGTTTTTTCTTTTGTATTTTTTCTTATTTCTATCACATTTTTTTTTAGGATTTTGAGTTGTTTGGTTGGAATTTTGATTTTGAAGATGCTATATGCTTTTATAGTTTGTATTTTTTAATTAAAATTTGAATGAAAAAGTTTAATTATTATTATCATTTTTAAAATAAAAAAATAAAATTTCAAACATTTATGACTTATACTTGTATCATATTTTCAACTTACCTATAAAATTAAAATTTATTTTATTTTTTTATTAAAGATACATGATATTTTTCTTACTCGATTGTATAAAATCCTTGTTACATTAATTCTTTCACTTGAGTAAACTTCTTTTATTATTTATCACAAGCTTATACTTTCAAGCCAAAAATACGTTTAATAAGTAAAAGATTTTAAAATTCATGATATATTAAATATTAAATAGTATAGTGTTTTAGTAAGAAATAAAAAATAAAAATTGCTTAATCCAACATTTAATTTTATCTTCAATTCTTTTTTTTCTTTTTTGGTTTCTTTCCATTTTTTAACCAAAGTACCTTTATGGAAAATCCTTAATTTACTTAATATTAGCAACCAAAGCAATCCATTTTATAAACTTGGTCAAGAACACCCTTGAAATAGTATACCATGTTTCTTATGGGGGATGTCTTCATTGGTTTTCTTTCCTATCCACAACCTCAAATCATCTAAAACTTAAGCCGGTCCAAATTGAAGATTCTACTTTGTTGCATTTAGCTCTAAGGTTCCTTCAACTTTCACTCCAAACCTGTTATATACATTACAAGCCAAAAGAAGGGATTGGGACACACCAGAAATCATTTGATGTTGGTACTGTTTCACGTGAAATTTGGAAGAACTTCCATAGGAACCAAAGCTTCCAAATGCCATGGAAAACAGTAGCATCAAATGCTTTTCATCTCTGTTTTAAGAACCCAAAGCAATCTCCCTTAGTCGATTGATATTGTTTAGATGTTTCGTTGAGTTGTATTCTTGCGCATCCAAGAGTTCGTTTGAGTATGTTCTTTGGATGGACCGCTTGTAGGGTTCTTTAGCACGGTCAGCTGCTGCACATTCATCACCCCTCAGCAATATCACAACCTGCATCAAAAAAGACCTTGGTTAACTTGATGACATTTCATTTTGGATTTGGTCTTCCCCCCCAATCCAGACATAATGCCCATTCGCCATATCCATACACAGAGGTCCAAAAGGAGAAGTGGGGGATATTAGAAAGGATAAGAATGAAAAAGCAAAGGAAAAGTTGAACATATGGTTGGCCATTAATGAGTTAAGAACAGATAGAAAGCATGAATCAAAGACCAATTCATTGCTTTGATGCTTTCTTGCTTCTGGGAGCAGAAAGTGATTTTAGCTTTTATGCACAAAAGTAGTAGTCCTAAATGTTTGCAGGCTTAGTTGCTTGTGATTCAGATCTTCTTGATTCTATATTTGTTGAGCTTCGGAAGGGATGTCCTAAAGAAGAAAAAAGGTACTCCATTTCCATTGAAGATGATTCCGAGGAATTAGAAGCAACCATAAAAGAACAGATGCTACAAGCAAGTGAAGGTGGATGAATTTCCTTGGTGGTGTACAGTGTAACAGGCACTTCCTACTCAAGGTTCCATGTACCCAAATAGAAAACAAGGCCTGCTAATCTTCAAAAGGAACTTCAAGATTCAGTTAAGCAATTTAATTAGACGCTACCCCATCAAACAAATAGACCACCTTGCCACCAGTTATAACCTCTTAATTCTCTGTGGTTCCACACCAACTTCGAGAATAATCCTAAATCAAGAGCGCATAAAGAAGAGGTTATTGTCCCTTACTTCTACAACAAGGTTTCATTCTTTTTAGCTGCTACTTAATGGTTCATTTTACTGCTGAGCAAGATATTGTTGAGAGAATGCTACCCTTGAACTCAGACAAATATGTAATTCATAAATGTCATTCAGCATTTTGTGATATCAATGATTCAATAGCACGAACAAGAATTAAAATCACAAAGCACCCAATGCTTTTCTAATGAAATGAGGTGATGCACCTCTCAACGGAGCAAAGTCAATATCAGATCAGAATTCACATTTTCATTTCCTAATCTTACTTTGTTTTCTCTAACTTCTGTTCAGTATATATTAACCAATAGCGTGTCACTCATCATATTTCTAGAAGGGTATGCTGTATTTATTACTCCAATTAATTAATTTCTTAACAGAGCGAACAGATATTCAACAACTTCTAAATCTAATCCTAACCTGACTCATTTGAGGACGAAGAATAGGAGACTGCTCGATGCACAAAGAGGCAGCCAAAACCATGCGATCCACCTCCTCTGCATCATAATCATCACCCAGGGAAGGATCTACAAGCTCTTTAATATCATTCTCATCAAGTAGAGGCTTTGCCTACAGGAATTAGAAGGGTAAGTACGGATTCTTATGCAAGTATGATATAGTTGGAGTGATCAAATTCTTCACAAGGAAATGTACCCATAGTACGACGCTTTGTTGTTGATCATCTAAAGCTCTTCGTCCTGTTATGAGCTCCAAAAGTAGAACTCCAAATGCATAGACATCAGTTTTCTCATCAACTATTCCGTGCATGAAGTATTCCGGAGCAAAGTAGCTGCATCTCAAGAAACAAATGAGTCAGCATTACGACAAAAGTATTTATTAACTCGATGACAGATACTTTAGGCTTACAAACCCGAAAGTTCCTTCAAATTTTGATACGTTGTGGTGAGTCCATTGTTTAGGTAGCCACTTGGCAAGGCCGAAATCGCAAATCTGGATGGCAAATCAGCTGACCTTATCAATAACTAGGACAAACAAAGAAAATGATAATACAAATGTAAAACGCCAGTTGACATTCATGACAATAGATCATTAGGAGCTTTATAAAATAACTGTCATAAACTTTCAAAAAATAGGACAGAAAGATCACCACCAATATTGGCAGACCCTGCTCACCTATGTTGACAAAAATAAGATTGCGCCATGTAAGGAGCAAATCAGAAAGAAAATAATGGAAACAATTTTCAGACAGAAAATGCAATGAAACTAATTCTCATACATGAATTGTTTTCTCATTAGAAAGGAAACCACAAAACTACAACAATGCATCCTTCTTGGTGGGAATTGAGTCAGAATACTTTATTTTCGTAACCAAACATGATGTGTAACATTCTAAATCTTTCACCATAATGCAGGCAACTGCTGAGCGCAGCACAAAGGAAGAAAGCAATCGATCTCTTGCATAGCTTCAACCCTCCTCAATTTGAGGCTTATTGATCCATCCTCCATTGGCTCAATCCAAAGTGCCAAATTTATGCCCCCAAGATTAAAGCTTGCACAAGGCTCATACCTTGTATGGCTCACCTCGTGCTCAAGGCAAGTGCTAGAAATTATGACCCCAAGGCAAAACAAGGGCTAATACTAGGTGCTTAAATTGGCTTCTTTATGGCTTTGAAAAATTACAGAGTTTAGTGCATAGAAATATTTATACTGACATTTTTTTTCCATATTACAGTTGAGAGACTCTAAACCTAACTGTAGCTTCTTGAAAATTAACATAGTGATTGTGTATGTCTCTGCATGCAATGAAATTCATTCCTACATGTCTTGGTTAAAATTTGCATTTTTCTCATTTTGAGCTGTTATCGATAGTTAGAGATTTTGTTGACATACTACTAAGTGAAGACTAAGACTCAGTAGAACTATGCATGGGGAGCATTCTGTAGGTTTAAAGATCAGAGCTACTCTTTTTGATTTCTCCAAACTATCCATTCTTTCAAAATGGTAAGTTAATGGCAAGGTGAAGTGCAATCATGTTCTACCAAAATAAATTGAGCAAAGGTAAGAATAGTCATATAGATGGAGACCTTGGAATATGCATAAATCTTCCCATAAAGTTGTAGCACCTAGTGCACATGGCAAACCAATAATTAAGTAGCCAGATTACAGAATATTAGTTCTAGCACTCCACAAGGAAAGGCATTCTGTGCTTGTCTCTGCATGTCAATTTCATGATTTCTTAGTATCATGAAATATACAGATGCATGCTTGCCATTCTGTACACTGGATTCTTCCAAATCGTACACAACCCATAGTTTTTAAACATCTCATTTGGTGAATCCTTTGAATTTTAAAACTTGAGAAGTACCTGGGGCTCAAAGTTCTCTGTAAGCAGAATATTATCCGCCTTGATATCTCTATGAATAATTCGTCTTTCACAAGTCTCATGAAGATATGTGAGGCCATCTGCTGTACCCAAAGCAATCTTATATCTTTTACTCCAATCTAGCACACCTTTTGAACCTAGATAATGCAAGAGCATCATAAAGTTCTCATAAAGCAACAGTAATAAGAACTTGAGGAAAACAATGCAGATTAGGAACAAACCATGCAGAACTGATCCCAAACTTCCCAATGGAGATAACTGAAAAACAAGGTGCATTCCGCCGTCAATGCCACACCCAATCAACTTAGCAGTGTTTGGATGGTTTACATGGGCTATAATGCCAAGCTCAGATAGGAAACCAGCTGTCCTCTCATCTGGTGTCCCTTTAATAAGCCGCTTTATTGCCAAAAGCTTTCCATCTTTCAAACAACCTTTGTAGACTTCAGCATAACCACCTTTGCCAATTAAGTTCTCTACAAGAAATAGAACCACAGGTCTACATCACTAAATGAATGTCATTATATTTGAATGTAACAAAAGTTTCATTAAGCAACCTTATATGTAACTTCATATTTCTCGTGGTTAATAATGGAAATAAGGAATAATAGTTCTGCCAAATTCCAAACTATAAGTGGACCAAATATACAAACGGTTTCTGCGAGTAGTCTAAGTCTTGAAATTAATTGCATACCTTGGCTAAAGTTGTCTGTTGCAGCTCGGAGCTCAGGTAGGCTGAAGTTCTCCAAAGAAGACTTAAAATTATACAAATCTCTCAGCACATGATTCTCTTTTGTGCTTCTGCTGTTCTTTTTTGATAGCTTTGGTACAGCAAGAGGAGTGAAGGCAGCTAAGTGCTTCCGTGATCTTCTTTTCCATAATTTGAAGAATTTTCTCCAGTTAGCTAGTGCTCCTCCATTTGTACAACGAATTTCTGCCTTGGGGCTGTCAACAGGAGAAATTATGTTGGATTCCAAGCTTTCTAAGCAGGCTTCTAAAACTCCTTTAGGAGATGATCCATCTTTTTTCTCGTTTTCCTTGTTTAGGACCCTCAATTCTTCAATAAAATAAGAACCAAAGAGTGGTAAGAACATGGACTACAGAAACACATGCATCAGACATGAAAGGGAGATGCCACAGAACACATAGAGTTGGAGATAACTACCACAGGCTGATGCATAAGAAGAAATTATAGCCCCTTGTCTTCTATGTCTTGCTTGAACAACCTCATTTTCCGAGTTCTTCTCTGGCCTATCACCAGAATCCTTAGAGTTCTCGCTGGAACAAATCAATGGCCATAACAGATCAATAATCATTCAAAGCCAAATAAAAGCAGAAATCAGAATCCGTTCTTGTTTCAGCATGAGTATTAGTAAGTTTGTTCTGGGGGAGACAATTATAAACTTAGAAGTGCTGAAAGATTTGATGACAGAAAACAAAATACAACCAAAATGAAAATCATCCATCAGACCTATGAAAACAGACCAGTGAAAACTTGAAACTAAACAAGATTAATCCCAAACAAAAGAGAGGAGAGTAAAAAACATTAACTCATAAAAGAAAAGCATAAAAACCATAAAAGGGTACATGAAAAGTAAGAAACATCATAAAGAAGAACAACCACCAAAAATTCTAGTCTATCATATATGGTATGGGTAGAAAATCCCGAAAATTGATAAGCTGAAACTCAAAACTACCAAAAATGGTTATGTGGAAACTAGAAATCACAACATTAAGTGGCATCAGAACCAACAAATCCTACACGGAAGAACAGCACGAAGGGAACAAAAAAAAGGAAGGAATGAAAGGGAAAAATCTCTACAACGTTCATATCCTCTTTACTGCTAATGCAAAATGGAACAAACCATTGGCTACCACTCAACAAACATTTGATGAAGAAAGAGGAAAAGCTTTTAATAAAACAAAGACATAGCCAAATGAGGTAACATGAAGTAGAACAAAAACAACCAATTTGCTAACTTTCAAAATGATAACATGAAGGAGAACACAAAAAGACATACCCAAATAAAAATAACATGAAGGAGAACACCAAAAAACTCATTTGCTTGCAATCAATCAACCCAAAAGTAAAACATCTTTACGAAAAAAAAAAAAGACATAGCCAAATGGGATAAGATGGAGAAAGAACACACGCATACCTTGAAGTAGCACCTTGATGGTCAATAACATCAGCCATGAACACTCTCAAAACAAGCAAATAAACCAAACCCAACAACAATGTGATAGATTGAAAGCAAAGCAAAGCAGGCAAGAGGAAGACAGAGACCCCAAACAAAAGGAAAAAAGTTAGTAGAGGTTACTATGACATTAAAGCCCTGTTCTTTAGTGCATAAATTTTGACCCCCAAAAAAGATAAGACCATTTGTTTTTTGTGTTCTTTCCAAGACCCTGAAAAAGGCCATCTGAAACTTAAACATTAGCTATATATGGAAAACTTTTCATTACTTCTTTGTCCAGAGGGAGTAAGATTTTTCACAAAAGAAACTTTGACATTAACTTTTTGTTTGTTTGTTTGTTTCTCTCTCTTTTATTAGACGAGTCCGCAAGAATCGCTGGTCTGCTTTGTTGGGTCGGTGACATGTGTTTAAAGCTCTGCAGCGACTTCTGCTCTCAACCTTAAACGCTCAAATCTGTGTAAACAGACAGCTAGAAGGACAGAAAGCGAACCCTGTTTTTTTTTTTTTCTTGGTTTCAAAATTCAAACCTTGGGTTCTTCACTTCTTCGATCAAATCTTCATGTTTGAAATCAGGACTAGAAATTTTTAGATGTCTTCCTGTTGCACCCCATAACAGAGAGACAGACAAACTTCTCAATCTTATGTTTTTGCATACATGATTATTTTGTATACAGCACGATATCCAAAAACCAAAGAAATTAAACGGATTTAAATTAAATTTTATCGTATTCCATGCCTTAATCAAATCATAAATACCTATAGAAAGAAATTTGAACTCAATTTTCTAAATAGTATTACTTAGATGTTGCTATCATCATGTTATGATGCTGACCACACTTCCTTTGCAGCATTGACGCCAAGTGAATGAGGCTTAAAAGATTAATGTACTTTTTACTATTTGGTAATTAATCAATGTATATGTGGCATATGCATTTACTTCTCTTTTGCAGGTTTGGGCATTTACTAATATGTTCATGTGCCATAAATTTAGCATTTGGAACACTCTGAGTTGTACAATTAAAACCCAACTTTTTCCCTTTAATAATTGAGCTACCATTGCTGAAACATTTTGACATCTTTGATTTCCAAATTGCCCATCAATTTTTAAGTGAGGGAAATGTGAATTCATACATGCAAAAGATGATGATTCCTCTTTGCTCTTTCCCTTAAGAACAAGACAAAAGCAAGTAAAGATGACATTAATGAACATTTATGGTACTAACCTTTTCTCCTTTCCTTGTAGCCCATGGAAAAGTTTGGAAAATATATACTTTTTTAATACCAAAAAAAAATTATTTGCATGCGTAAGTTTTAATTGTTAATAAAATATAAAACGGATAGAAATAAAATGAGATTTGGATAGAAATTTCATCTTTGATATATGTCATATGTGACTTAAATGAGTTTTAACATATGAAATTGTCATATCTTTAACGTGTCTAACACGTTTAAAACACGAAATTCAAACTCTTTTAATTTTGTATTATTTTTTATTATATTAGTAAATTATGTTCAAAATTATTATATTTAACTATTAACTATTAACTTTTTACATTTAATATTTTACAAAGATGACATGCATGATATCTCAATGCTTTGAACTTGAGAAAATAATAGAATTTATGGCAAAATTATATGTGTGCTAGTTTATGGCTAAGTTTAATGTATATCAGGCATGAAGAAATAAGAACAATAAAGACACTTTAAATGGGAGCATGTGGCTAACATGGCTCTATGTACAAATGATGTGAACTATCATATCATAAACTGTATATTCATGAGCAAAATTTATAAGCAATAAAGATCAATAAAGTGTTAGTATTTGAATGATCATCTCTGCAATTACAAGGAAAATGGAAACCATGGTAATTATATGGAGGCAGAGGACCCGAGCATTTTTGGGCCGTTAAGAGCAATGCTTTTCCCATCAAGGGACCTAAATTTGAACCTCAAATAGGCTTGTGGCTTAAAGATTCTTGAAAGGTAAATTGGGCTGGATTGGACAAGGCCCAATTTACTCTTAATTGGGTTTATATTTAACCCAAAATAATCGAATTATCATTAATAATTTTTTAAAGTAAATAAAATTATAATTATGTAATTAAAACTCAAATTTATTGTAATATTTATTTTTCGGGTTTGGAAAGAAATTGTAAATCTTACTTGTCCCTTGCTTCTTTGGTAAACTCATTGTATAAGCAATGACTAATGACTATATTAT